GGCAACCAGGAGTTTTAATCAATGTTTTCACCAAAGATTAACTCAACTTTCACCCGAGTCACACATTTGAAAAATGGGCAAATGCTTTGTGAATCTTGGGTGAAAATATTGATAACTACACCCCCTAGTGACCACTCAAATTCCTGAAACACCTTAAAGGAGAACTATGGGGTTAGGGCTTTTCCCCATAGTTCTCCTAAGGGTAACGTGAAGACACAAACTAGCACCCTCCCGTCACCCAAAGCTCAGTATACCGCGAGCTACTGCTCGTGGTATACTGAGACACCGCAGCTGAAACGGATCCCAACAATTATGTCTGGATCCCCCCAGCTGCGTGAGTGACAGCTGGCTCTGCCTATCTAGAGGCAGAGCCAGCTGTACCCGCCCCCTCCCCGCCAGTCAGCGCTGGAGGATCGGACAGGGGAGGGGAGAATCCAGTCCCTTCCATGTCATGGCTCTCTGCAGTGACAGGATCGAGAAGTGAGCGAGCGCCGGTATGTGTTCGCTCACTTCCCGATCTACTGAGCGGACCTGTGACAGTCTCATTGTCACAGGTCGGCTAGAACTATGAGGATGAGTGAAAATCACTCACCTCATAGTTCTCCTTTAATGATGTGCAGCCAATTGTGGAGTAGACAGGTGGTTGCTGAAAGAGGCTGGATGAGATCAGAAACACTGAGATGGAAAAACATGATGACATACATTCTGAAAACAGTATTTTATTTCACAAAAAATGGCAGTCATGATATACAGCTGCTGTGGCTAACAATGTCTTCCAGTAAAGATTTACATCTGATTTACATCTTAAGATAAGATAAGGCTGTATGTGTCCATGAGATGTCATGTTGTCACTTACCCTAAAAGGGTACTTTTCTGCATACAGAAGAATACTGTACTGTCTGAACACTGAACAGTGATTTCAGGCACTGGGAGCTTTAAGGAAAGATGTTTCAGTAGCTTACAGGGGGAAGAGAATGCATGGCAGACTTCAGTGATATAATTGTGCTATTGCTTACTGTCATGGAGCCAGCACAAATGGACCAAATCGCACCATTCAGTTCTTAACTTAAGCTAAACTCCAGGAAAAAAATAAAAAATGCCTAAACTATACAGTATCTTTATGGTATCCCCAGGAAAAAAACCTACAGAGCTGAAATCAGACTGAGAGTGGGAGAATGTACACCATCCTCTCTCAACCAGGGTTCTGCGGAATCGTAGGGTTCCTCCAGAGGTTGCTAGGGGTCAGGGGCTGACTGGCAACTTTTAGCCCAGGGGGCAAGTACAACCCAGAGGCCCATGGTGCAGCAACTTGACCCCCCTCCCGCTTTGCCTCTTCCCCCGCCTTCTCCCCGCCCGTCTGCCACTTTTGCCATCCATGTAACAGTAGTGTGAATGTATTTATCGGTTTAGGAAATGTAAAGCACACTGGTAGTGGATTGCTAGGGGTTCCTTGAGCTGTGGTGTTTTGACCTCCTATCTGATTGTGCCAAGATATGTTCAAGGCCAACGCCACTTGGCAGAGTATGTGGCATGACACGGTTGACACCAGTGTTAATTTTAGCTATCTGTTAGGGTGGCTTTATGCCCACCACTGTAATGGATGCTCTATTCTCTGACCACCACTGTAATGGAGGCACTCTTCTCTGACCACCACTGTAATATAGGCACTCTTCTCTGACCACCACTGTAATGGAGGCACTCTTTTCTGACCACCACTGTAACACGGGCATTCTTCTCTGACCATCACTGTATTGGGGGTATTCTTCTCTGTCCACCACTGAAATAGGGGCTTTCTTCTCTGACCACTGCTGTAATAGGGGCATTCTTCTCTGATCACAACTGTAACTGAGGCATTCTTCTCTGACCACCACTGTAACTGAGGCATTCTTCTCTGACCACCACTGTAATTGAGGCACTCTTCTCTGACCACCACTGTAATGGAAGCATTCTTCCCTAACCAACAATGTAAGGGACATTCTTCCAACTGACCCCTGATTAATTAAAATTTTAGCAGGGGTTCCCTGAGACCTGAAAATTATTTCAAGGGTTCTACTGGGGGAGGAAGGTTAAGAAAGGCTGATCTACACTACGAGTCAATATAATGTACAGGCTACCAATAGAGCATGTTTCAGTATATAGGACCTGAAGGTGGCATATGTATAAATAGCCTACAGAGGAAAATAAGCATGTGGAGGGCAGTGTGATGATATTTTTTTTGCCTGTGCACTGAGCAAAGAGATGACACAGTTCTGGATTCTTTTCATGAGCATCCTCGCGCCTTGACAGACAGCCTGCCAGCCTGAATGAATTCTAATTATCCCGCCATTGATACTGTTTGTGAATAGCGGAAGGACACGCCGCCATGCCACCTGCAGATAAGAAACCGTTTTGTAACAAAAACCCATACACTTTTATTCAAGGTTCGTCTTTAGATGGAAGCCTGAATTTCCCCCTATTTTTTATTTGTGCTCTGCAAAAAATAAATAATATATCAAATTTATTCGGCAGGAAAAATAAAAAAACAAGGCACACAATGGTGTTGAATTACAAGACGACTGAAAAGAATTATAAATACATTATCAGGTATAAAGGTTCACATATTCAGTATGTATGTGTACTGTGCAGCCATTCACCTGGAGTTACAATTAAAGAAGAACTCCAGGCAATCTAAAAACGTACCCCTGCAGTGGGGCTACCTCTGCACTGCAAGGGTTTAACTGCTCGTTTTGGTCTAGGGGCTAAAATAAAGAAGATCTACTCACGTGATCCTCAGTCCTACTTGTCTGCTAGACCGGTCTCCATAGCCTCTTCTCCCCCAGGCTCCGGTGGTCTAAGGACCCGTGGTGGCATTACCAGGGCCATCCCTATAATGAGGCGGCGTGAGGCAGTTGCCTCAGGCGGCATCTCATTGGGTCACATGGGGGGAGGCATTTGTGGCCCCCTTGCAGGCCAGAGCCTCCCAAGACCTCTTAGAAGCCTGTGACGTTCTGTCCAGCATCCAGCCCAACTCCCTGACATCACTGGTTGCCGGGAGCTGAGTGGGAAACCCTGGCGGGTGTCCCGCCCAGCTTCTGCCAACCAGTGATGTCAGTTGCCTGGGTGGTACGCTGGAGAGAGGCGCTAATGAGCATCTACCACCACTCCCAAAGTAACGAGTATCCACCACCAGCAGCCCTCAACTCCATCCCCCAGGAACCAGCATCAACCACCAGCACCCCCCTTCAGGCCTGACCTCAGGCGGCGCATCGTGTAGGGACACCCCTGGTCATCAAGTCAAATGCAGCTGCATGAGACATGAGGACGCCAAGGGGCATTCCAATGCCAGAGTGGACAGGGAGAAAAGTGAGCAGTCACAGCCACAAGAACGAGGATCAGGTGATTAAATCTACATTATTTTAGCCCCTAGACCAAAACGAGCAGTTAGGCCTTGCTGTCCGGGGGTAGCCCCACTGTAAGGGTTCATTTTTAGCTTACCTGGAGTTCTTCTTGTCCTAAACTGGACTGGAATCAACTAATTACATTGGAGATGCATTAAAACAAAAGGTCTGAAAGTTCTTACAGTGCGCATGCTGCAGAGAAGGGCCTTTGCTCTCTCTGTGGAAGCATGTTGGAAGTTCTTGCACAGCCTCATAGAGAAACACAAGCACACAGTCTGATATGCATGCTGCATATGGCTTGAAAACAGGAAGGAAGCCACAACTTTATGCTTTACCTTATTCAATACAACAGAGACTATACTATAGATGTATAACAATTTATAAGCACTGCCATCTAGTGACCGAAATTGTATACTGCAGGAGTTACTGCAATACATACTATACTGTGCATTCTAACAAATCAGGGGTCTCCCTGCAGAGGTCCAACCCACTGAGTCAGACCATGCAATTTACAAGGTTCATGCTTTCTACTGATCAGACAGCTCTAGCTCTGACTCAAAAAGGGTGTGTGCAGTGTCGTCATTAGGGGGGTGCAGTCCACACCCAGGACACACCATTGGAGGGCTGACACCAAAATGACTGTGTCATTTGGTGTCACCCCTCTGAAAAGTCGGGCACTCAAGTCATGGACCAAGAGAGGAGTCAGGAGAGAGGAGGCATACCTTATCCCACTAGGTGAACGTCCCCTCCTCTCTCTGCCTCCATCCAGACCTCTACAGAGAGACCAATGCTTCAACACAGCGACCATGAATCCTTCTCTAAAGCATGCTGGCAGCGCACAAGCTTTTCATCCTAGGCTGCGGCTGCTTTGTAAAAAAAAAAGAACTGTAAGAGGTTGCACCTTTTGTTTTGATTCGACTCGAATGTATTTGAGAGATTTAACCTGAAAGTTCAGTTGGGCTTTAAGACTGGATATTCAGA